TGTTTATTCTGTTCATATATCTAAAATAAATTACTTTATTTTGAGAAATCTGACCAGGTCACAAGTTTTCATTTTTCACTTCATGATCAGAGGTATTTCATTATTATCTGATTTCATTTTTGCAAGATCTTGAGGGATTACCTTTGTGAAGGTTAGGCTGGTCCTAATTTCATAGAGTAATTCGCTACAGCTAACTAAAACCTTGACTCCGCCCATAACAGAGGTTTTAAAGGTTAGCACACACCAGTAAAGAAGAAGAAGAAGAAGAAGACCGCAGACAGACGAGAGCACAGAAAAAAACCAGAAGCAGCAGACTCCCCTCTTGCCAGGCCTTCCCCGTGCTGATCAGTATGGGAAGGAGGAGGGGGGGGGGGTCATTCAACCCCTTCTGCCATTTGACTCATAATAGCTCGATCATCTAACTTCGACTCAGCCCTTGAATTTGATTTTTAAAGGAGTCATAATAAGCTAATGGTAATTCAACGTCGTTTATTCCGTTTTTCTACAAGGTGAAGATCAAATTGAATCTTAAAGCCACCTGTGAAGGACCAGATTCCGAGTCACCAGAGCCTTTCTGACCACAGGACCAGTCGAGTCTACTAGGCAAAAACGGCCTGACATCTAGTTTGCATGAAGAGCCTGTCTGGAGGACCAAACTCCAGAGATGGTCTTCCACAGCTGACTTCAACCTCCTGGTACCCACACGGCAGAACACAAAGGAAAAAGGTGAACACTTGTCTTGGTGAAACATAGGTGCTCAGACGTAGATTTGATTTTTATCTTTGTAGGAGAGTTGGTAAACTAAACGTTTTTATCGATCTTAATTTAACTAGGAACCCTTAGTTAAACCACAGAAACAGCTTATCCAACCACACATCCCTCTAAACACTTCTCAGTGTTTATTTTTGTTATATGTTGTTCGTTTTGTTTGTCTGTTTGTCCATTCATTTGTGATAACAAACTCCCTCAGTTTACCTGGTTCAAATATGTCATCATTCATCCATTGTTTGCCATAGTTGTAAATACATTTAATCTGTAAATAAATGGCCCGTGGAGAACATGCCAATTTAAGCTAATCTCAATTTTTCTTTGTGTCTTGATGAGATATTCTGATTTTGATAAGACAAGAACTCAGATCAATGTGGGTAAATTTATTCTGAGACTGATTACAATAAATTACAGTTTTTCATTTCTTTCCTGGGTCAGTATCTGATCGAATTAAGGATGTGGTGCTCCGAGAAATTCACATGAACACATGAACACATGAACACATGAACACATGAACACATGAACACATGAACACATGAACACATGAACACATGATCACATGATCACATGAACACATGAACACATGAACACATGATCACATGAACACATGAACACATGAACACATGAAC